TGCCAGATCTCCCAGGCCCTGAACGGAGTCTCCGAAAAAGCAAAAGATGCGAAAGAGTTCCTGATCCAACTGAAGAACCTTCTGCAGCAGATACAGGTAACACCCTAACACCAGACACTGAATCCTGGGTGAAATACACGCTTCATACATTTAGATACCGTATAACGGGTTGTCTATGTAGTTTGATTATATTAAATTATTTTGTCATCAGTTACAAATCATGGGTGTATTTGGAGGATTTATAAACTAAAAGGAAGTTACACATTACTGCAGTAACATATGCCCAGAATGCAATGCAGCTACAAAACAATATTAAGGAGAGTATCAAAGCAGATCATCTTCCTTTCACAAACCTCTGTTTTGTCTGTGTGTTCTTCTCAGGGTGTTTTGAATCACAAAAGCTTGACATAAACTAGATTAATTGTGATACTAACACACTAAGATACTAAGGGAGACTTTAGCGGTGCCCCAGTTCCATACTAATGCTAATCAGGTTTTGATTATGTCGTGTAATTAGACAGAGAATGTCACTAAATGAAGTCTAATTAAGTGTGCATAGTTCAAATGTGTTTGTGTGAGGAAACAGCTACAGAAAGGTCTCTAGAAATTCCAAAAAATACAGTTTAAGATTCAAGGGCTTTATTTGTTCACACACACACTAGCTGAAGTGTTGTTTGGCAATACACATTACATTACATTTAGCTGACGCTTTTATCCAAAGCGACTTACAATAAGTGCATTCGACCAAGAAGATACAAACTTGAAGAAAACAGAATCATATAAGTACATCATGTTTCAAAGCCAGAACATTTCAAGTGCTACTCAACTGGCTTTAGATAAGCCAGTGCTTAGTTAGTATATAAGTGCTTTGTTAGTAATTTTATCGCTCGAAGTGGAGTCGAAAGAGATGAGTTTTCAGTCTGCGCCGGAAGATGTGTAAGCTTTCTGCTGTCCTGATGTCAATGGGGAGCTCATTCCACCATTTTGGAGCCAGGATAGCAAACCCACGTGTTTTTGCTGATGGGAACTTGGGTCCCCGTCGCAGTGCGGGTGCAGCGAGCCGTTTGGCTGATGCAGAGTGGAGTGCACGTGCTGGGGTGTATGGGTTAACCATGTCCTGGATGTAGGAAGGGCCAGATCCATTCACCGCATGGTACGCAAGTACCAGTGTCTTGAAGTGGATTCTAGCAGTTACTGGAAGCCAGGGAAGGGATCTCACCACAAAAAGTCAAAGGCTCCTCCAACAATGCAATATGAAATATACCTAACATATAAGTAAGAGACATAGTAAAGTGCAATAAAATAGGGCAGTAAAAAATTAATAAATAAATACTGTAGACTAGAATACATACCTTATATATAATAAACACATAGGTGGATATGAAGACTAAACAGATGAACATTTACTGTGTATCATGAACACTCTGTATTATGTGAACGTTGACACTTCACAGAGATCAGGAGTAAAGGATGTCATTCTCAGTTTCTAATAAGCATGGTGTTTTCTTGTGTACTAAAAAATATATAATGCAGAGATTATATAGTACACACGTTATTTGCATTTGTAGAATGCACATTAATAAGCACAAGCACTTGAGTCCATCATGTACAGATGTATATATAGAGGAATGTTTCCCTCTGCAGTCCCTGGCAGGTTGATAGCATTAGAAGACAACTTATAAGAGCACATAAGCACACTTAGACATATAAGCACAACTGCAGTACATATTAAAGCCCAATTGAAAGCCCTAATATAAAACCCCATGAACACAGAACAGACACAAAACCACATACGTGAGCACAAATAAAAGATGATCGGCACAGACAATATGAAAAACAATGATATGACCCTTACTCCACTTTTATGACAGCATTATTGATTGTCCACTAACCACTGTTTTACATATAAACAGTGAGAATGCTGATGTTCAGCGCTGGGATCACACCTCTTATTTTGCAGCATTTCTGAAAGTGTTTGTTTCAAAGCCTCAGGATCTCCATGACGGCCTGGCAGTGAGAGATTGGACCAAAACCAACATCCATGTCTGATCAGTTACCCCCACATGCAGGGGTCTTTACATAATTTACATCAGCACCAACGTGTTTTTTATCTAAACTAAATACATTTTTGCTTTGGTGATGCTGGTAATGGGTAATAAGCTCCAGTCAGAGTCACATTTGGTCTCCTCACACTGAGCAGCAGGAGGCTAAATCCACTAAATCACCAAAATAAAGCAAACCATACCAGCCAAATGGGAGCAGTGTGTGTGTGTGTGTGTTGGTGTGTTTATGTGTGTGTGTTCTCCCTGTAGACAGGCATAGCTGTGCAGCTGATCTCTCACACAGCATCTGCCAGTCATACACACACACTTTCACACACACTGCACTGTCATATCAGTCGGCCGCAGCACTGTGAGCAGGCATTAAGGGTCTTACTGCACAATGAAGCCGATTGCATTTTAATGAAAACAACAACTCTGACTGAACAGTGAGAGAGGGATGGATAAAGAGAAAGAAAAGTGTAATAACGATCCCCAGCACTCATCCTCTTATAGATGTGAACCGTGTCCCACAGAGGAGGAAACTGATTGGAAATCTTTACTATCTAAGAGCTCATCATGTGGGCTCAATGCAGATAAACAGGAACATGCCCTTGTGGACTCCTCTTGTTTGAACGGCAAACCACTGCAGTGCAGACCCTCAGAGCATCTTCTCATCTGATGAATCGACTGCACTTTTCTAGTCTCTAAGAGCACTCAAAGCACTCTGACAAATACAAGTCAGCATTCACCTATTCACACACAATCATTCACCATTTGCTCTGCCACTAGAAGCAATTTGGGGTTCAGTATCTTGCCCAATGACACTTATGGCGCTTTTCCACTGCAGGGCCTCGCTCGGCTTAGTACGGTATGGCTTGGCCTCGTTAGGCCTTGGTAGGCCTGGCTCACTTTATGCTGCGTTTCCATTACAGTTTAGGAACTGGGGTAGTAACTATAGTAACGCAGTGTAGGTGGAGCCGTGTCGTCATCTTCAATGCGAAACACAAAACCAACATCAGCTGTTAGCTGTTAGCACTCAGAGCTCACAGCTCCTCATATCTGTTCAGAAACTAGACAAAAGTTAAACAAGTACAAACCACAGACTGCCTGTGTCATGGTGAATACAGTCGCTGGTTTATTTATGTCTGGAGGCCGTTGTTGTGAGTGTGGACGGTCGGAGCATATACTGCGTTAGCTTAGCCAATCTCCATTTAGAAAACATGCATTTTAAAAGGTGTTTCGGCTGCCGTCTGTCTGCAGACTTGTCAAAGCATTAATTCATGGTTTTTACTAACCGGTATCAGTATGTTGTTACTTCGGCATCATTTTGAAACGTGTATTACAATTCAATCACGGTCAAATATGTTCATTTTGTTGTAGTTGCCAGCGATTCTCTCACTAGTTTAGCATACTCAGCCCGGTTGTTGGCCCGGAAAGAACCTCGATTTTGGAGAGCCAGAAAAACTGTGAAAAAGTACCCGCTAGCCGGAAATTCGCCTAGTGGAAACGCAACCAAAAACGGGCACGGCACGGCACGGCACGCTTAAACCGCGTTCCGCGCTGTAGTGGAAATGCGCCATTAGACATACTGACTGTTGAAGCCATCGTTCTACCACAGCACATGACACTTTTATGGTTAATGCTCGGTTCGCTTCTGGCACAGAAATGACTTGGTTATGTTTAGGTAAACATTGTGATTTGTGTTGAAATGAATACTTTGAAAGATACTTTTTTTTATCATCAAGTTGACAGAAATAAACACTTGGTCAGGTAACATCATCAAAGTTGTTTCAGTATATTTCTTATTTAGGAGTAAGTGCATAAAACTAGACTAGACATAACAACTATTTGAAGAGGATGTCTAAACAATTTTGAGGGGAAATCTTTCTTTTGTTCAACTGTTAACAACTTATAGATATATGAAACTTGACTTAAAGCCAAACACTTCTTTCAAAAGTAAAGATCTTCCATTCAAAGGTAACTCCAGATGTAAGTGAATGTAGAGGAGTACAAAGCACCGTGTTAACCTATGGAATTGAGTGAAATAGGAGTATAATGCAGCAAAAAATGGAAATACTGAAGGAGCATAGGTACCTCAAATATGTAAATACTGCTAGTTAATTTCCATCTCTGTGTTTCTCGATGCTTTACTAAGAAAGGCTACGATGTGAATGCAGGGTCGTGGTTGTAAGATACACTGTAAGCCAAATGTTCGCCATCATGGACAAATCATGAAAAAGAGAAAGGGCAACATCCTATGTCTCGTTCTTGTAATCATGAGAAGACCAATTATATCATTCTCAATCCATATGCTACAGTTTTCTGAATGACGATTGTTCTTTTAATTGATATGCTCCAGAAATTCTTTTTGGGACGACAAACTCTTGATATTTGTTGACCTAATGTGGCTAAACCCCTGCAACACATTACTGCAATTCCCATGTGGTTGTGTTTATGATTTCTTTGAGAATACACATTATGTCCGGATATTATACAGAGATCTCAGAGATAGGGTACATTACACAGATCAGGGAGTACATTATTGAGGATAAGCAGGAGAGCGCATTACATATTCACACTGAAAGCCCCCTGCGTGCTGTGTCATTTGGGAGGACGTTTACAAAAAGCTCCGACTGATCATCAAAAAGCTTCTCATTCCCCTTCAAGACGGAGCTCATGCACTCCATCTGCAAAACTTTAGAGATGTCTCCACACCGCTCTTTGGGGTCGGGATGATCCCCTGAAATAAAATGCATCTTCTTGCTCATAGGAGAAGCTTGTTCAAAAGTGTTTCAAAGGAAGCCCTCCACATACGATTTAGCTAAACAAAAACAAGGTTCATTTATATTTCCTTAGCAAAAACACTTCTGTGAACTCAATTTTATTGTATTTTTAATTTGTACGGGTTAGTAGCTTGAGGGATATTAGTGGGAGTTGTATAAACAAATGGTTAATATGATGTATGAATCATTTTTCTGCAGTGTATTGAGATAATTAACACTGTATACTAATGTTGTGTGGTGGAAACACAAATGGATCTGGGTTGTACATTAACATATCGGGAACAAACACAAAGCTGTGCTGCTGAATAAAGAAAAAACACACCAACAGATCTATTTTCGTCACCATGTTTATGTATTGATTATTAATAACTCGAAGCCCATATTCAACATGCATTTGGGACTCTAAACTATAGCTTTATGTTGGCAACATTTCTTCATGCGATAGATGTTTTGGTGATGTTTTCTGCGTGTGTTGTTTCAGGAGAACGGCGTGGAGTTTGAAGCCTGCCTCGTGGCTCAGTGCGACTCTCTGATCGAGGCGCTCACCAGACAGAAAGCCAAGCTGCTCACCAAAGTCACCAAAGAGAAGGACTACAAGCTCAAGGTGGGACTGGGTTATCATTTCATTTGCATCAGTGTGTAGCTGCATGTCCTTCCAGACGTTAAATATCTACAAGACACGGTTTCATAACGGCAAACAGTTCTCATCTCTAATCAAATCATCATCAGATAAGATAAGAAGTACTTTATTGATCCCAATTTGGGAAATGTTTGTGTTGCAGTGGCATAACAAGACTAGTTAAAAGACAAGAAATAAACAATCCAAAATGTAAACATCTCAAATAGAAATAAAATAGCATTAAAAAAGTAGAAAATATACATGTTGAAACAATAGCAAGATATAAAGCAGGATATGATATATACATTAAGTGTGTAAAGATACATTAAGTGTGTAAGGATACATTATATCAGATGTAATCTATATAGCCCAATACTACAAGAACACAATTGTTTGAGGGGGCTTTACAGTGTGTTCAGTGTTTGACATTTAGCATTAAAGGTCACCTATTAAGCAAAATCCACTTCTTCATGTCTCTTCTACATCAACATGTGTCCCCTCTTCTTCATGTCTCTTCTACATCAACATGTGTCCCCTCTTCTACATCAACATGTGTCCCCTCTGTGTAAAGAGATTCTGAAAGTTTCAGGAAAAAAGATTCTCTCTCTTTTTGTCCTGATCCATTTATATAAAAACCTGTCTGAAAATGAGCTGATCAGATTTTGGCCACTTTATGATGTCATAACGATTTTTTGGCTTGTGTAACCATTAGCCAATCACCAACCAAGGTAACCCCCCCCCCCCACCTTATCACCTGAATCTCCTCCTAGAGCACCATTGTGTTCTTTTTAACCAAATCTCTCTCAGAGGGGCGTGGGGAGGGGCTCCTTATTTTCATCTAAAGTAACAGACAGAGAATCAGCACTTTGGAAACAGGGCTGAAACAGAGGGGATTATGGGATGCTGCAATGATCTGTTTGCTGTTTCAGCCAATCAGAGACAGGTTCTGTATATATCTGAGACCTATAATATATTGATGAAGAACAGTATAATAGTGGACCTTTAAACAAGGACAATCCCACAATTAATGGGGAAAACATGGAAGAATCTTTGTTGAGATCAACAGAAGAAGGATGATTAAAAAAAAGATACTTAAATGAAAACAAATTGACACAAATTATAATGTTAACATAAATGAAAAAAGATGGATCCAGGATTTTGTGAACAATTTTCCAAGTGCAGATACAAAACATGGACGTCATCTCATTTTATTAGTTTAGTTTTTCGATGTTGAGTAAAACAAATGAACTTCCTTCCTTCCTTCCTAGCCTGAAGCGTGTCGAATATTTCGGGTTATTTGATTTGAAGAAATAGTATGAAAGTCTTGCTGCCTGTCTTTAAGTCTGTCTCTCTGCTTTCACTACTATCTGCTCCCACCATGCACCTGTTTGTCTCCCTTTCTGTTCCAGCACTTATTAGTGTATAATACTGTAAGTAAGAAAACTGAGAATATAAAATAACTTCAGGTCAAAAATGTGTAACCTGCAATGGGGATAACGGGCTGAATGTGTTGTTTCAAATATAAGGTGTTCCCATTTAACATTAAACACTTATATGACTCAATATGCAACAAAATAAGACATAAACATCCTAAATTACATGTTAATATCTAAAAAAACATTGAAATCACAATCAGCAAAATATCATAAATGAATGATAATAACTGAACCTCACTTTCCCTGACAATCCGCACAACACAATTAGGAATAAAAACATTTCCAGCTTTTCGTTTTTTTTGCTTTCTCCCTAAATCCACCTCTGGGGTTTCCTAAGTCGTATCACATGGACGCCTGCCCGGCCTCAACGTGCATACCGACCGACTGACCGTCTGGCGGGGGAGGAAGATGGGGGAGGAAGAGGAGGTGGAGGAGGAGGGATTTTTGGACAGAAGCCTCAAGGACAGCTGTTGTGTTTATCTGCAGGCTGGGGGTTGAGATTCATCCAGAGGGCAAAGAGCTGCAGGCTGCAACAAAAGAAGAAGGGCTGCATGAAGATGGCTGATAAACGCTTCTGAGGGAATTCATATTCAACACATTGTTTCCAGCCAAATGATATAATTACAGGCTCCTATTCACGATAGAAAATAGACACACAATAGATTTATTGCTTAGTTCCAAAACCAAAATCTGTAGCAGCTGAAAATAACTGTTGTATCAGGCATCTAGCATTTATTATGATTTCATAGAAATAAGAAAATGGTCAGACAACATAGATAGAAGATGCATAAAAAGAGACATGAAAGGGGAAATAATGTAAGGAGGAAATGTACTGCTTTTATATGAATAAACTTAATTTGTATAGAACATTCTGAAAGATGTTTCAAAGTGCTTTACATGGAAAAGCTAAATTAAAACAAATCACAACCACAAAAATCACAACCACAATTCAATGAAGTTTGGCCAATTCAAAGTACATGTATTAACCTAAAACTAAACAAAAATAAATCCCAAAACATTTACACTATATATATATATATATATATATATACTATAGAACTTGCAGACAGTATCTGAAGTGCTTTAAATATAACGGGTAAAAACTATCCCTCTGAATTAATTAAAAACCAAGACGCTACATTACGTACTAAATGTAAACACAAGACTGTTTTTGACTAAACCACGAGTACAATCATAATCAAGATTCTATGACGTTAACCCGTGTGTTGTGTTCGAGAGCTGTTACCGTTCATGGTGTTCGCGGGTCAATTTTGACCCATGATTTATTTCAGTCCAAAATACTCAAAAATAATGACTATCATCCAATATTGTTTTAACTACATCATAACTAACTTATTATGCATTCATAACCGTACAATCCTGTTGTAATTGTATTCTATGGCCCCAAAACACATTACACCTCATATTGCACACGTGCATGTGTGAGTTCAGGTTCAAGTGTTAGTGCACATATTCTTTGTGAAAGGTGGAGTTCCCGTGGGGGGAGGGGGGCAGAGGGAGGGGAGACCAGGTGCATGTTGCCAAAAATTATTGTTACAGTGTATGAAGGGGGTGGGGGAGGGGTGTCTAAAGTCAAAGATGAATCTTGATTGGGCCAAATTTGACCTCGAGTCACCCAAAACAATTCTGCTGGGTCTCCCCAGACCCCAACACCAAATTATATACTTTTCTTTTTAGAGACCTTCAGACTTGGCAAAAAATGTCAAAATCTGTTTTGTAGTGTTTATATAGCTGTTGTGGAGGATATCATGAAGCCTTGTTCCCATACAAAAAACTAGAGCGTAGTTATTATATCATTTTAACTTGAAATGGGTCACGGGAGACCCGAACACAACATAAGGGTTAAAGCATGCATATAACTGCACATCCTTCAGAGAGGATTTAATGGTCACTTACGGTCGCGTATTCACTGTTCATTTCTATCAAAACACCCTGGACACTCCACTTATTCCTCTTCAAATGTACTCTAAACCCTCATAACTACATCACAGACTTGCAAAAATGATACTGGATTATATTAAAATGTCCATAAACCAGGAATCTTCACACAATACTTGCTGTTTTCCACACTACACCCCCAGTTCAGAAAAAACACTACTGTATACACCTTTTCCAGAAATAACTTATGGGACTGAACGCAGCTTGTATTTATTCTCCAAGCTATTGTAAGTTATGTAACTGCAGTTCAGAGACAGTAAGATTGTTTTTCTATACGGTTTCAGTGGAAGGAGCCGGCTTTAAAAACATCAGTGGATCTGGATATTTACTGACCGTTTAATACAATATTTGTACAAACATTGAACTACTGTATATTTATTCCACACATGGCAGTTATTTTAAAACAAAACATGTATACTCATACTGTTTTTTTTATTTGTATAGCACATGGTGGAAAGGAGCAGGGAGAAGAACATCTTATTTAATCTTAATAACCATAAAAAAGTAAAATAAAAGCAATATTCTTTCAGTCACAGTTGCTTACAAATACTGAAACATAAAACCAGAACACAATCAAAAGTCAACTTCATACCGTCTAATTACGCTTTCTTTATACATTTTCTTAAACATAACATTTTTTATATATCACATGTATAAGACAATATATACTGTGGTGTATTAGTATTAAAGGTCCCCTATTATACTGTTTTCATCAATATATTATAGGTCTCAGATATATACAGAACCTGTCTCTGATTGGCTGAAACACCAAACAGATCATTGCAGCATCCCATAATCCCCTCTGTTTCAGCCCTGTTTCCAAAGTGCTGATTCTCTGTCTGTTACTTTAGATGAAAATAAGGAGCCCCTCCCCACGCCCCTCTGAGAGAGATTTGGTTAAAAATAACTCAATGGTGCTCTAGGAGGAGATTCAGGTGATAAGGGGGGGGGGTTACCTTGGTTACCTTGGTAAGCCAAAAAATCGTTGTGACATCATAAAGTGGCCAAAATCTGATGAGCTCATTTTCAGACAGGTTTTTATATAAATGGATCAGGACAAAAAGAGAGAGAATCTTTGTTCCTGAAACTTTCAGAATCTCTTTCCACAGAGGGGACACATGTTGATGTAGAAGAGACATGAAGAAGAGGGGACACATGTTGATGTAGAAGAGACATGAAGAAGAGGGGACACATGTTGATGTAGAAGAGACATGAAGAAGAGGGGACACATGGTGATGTAGAAGAGACATGAAGAAGAGGGGACACATGTTGATGTAGAAGAGACATGAAGAAGAGGGGACACATGTTGATGTAGAAGAGACATGAAGAAGAGGGGACACATGTTGATGTAGAAGAGACATGAAGAAGAGAGGACACATGTTGATGTAGAAGAGACATGAAGAAGTGGATTTTGCATAATAGGTGACCTTTAAATAAAAACAGTAATAGACAACTTCCTCCCTGCTCATCCACTGAAACGTGGATCAGTGTGTGACAGAGAAGCTGTGTGTCGTGAATGCAGTGTGTCTGGAATCTGATATCTGGGTCTGCATTAACATCTTTCCGTATTTGCACCCTCAAATTCATTTCAGATGCATGTGGAACATATTTCCGAGCCCTTCATCCTGCCTGCAGCGACGGCTCCTCAGCGGGGCACGAGGAAATTGAAATGAATCTGAGATTTACTCAGGCTTCACGCTTCACACTTCACGTTGTTTACACAGGAGATAAGAGCGGGGCTTTAGCCAACATCAAGTGAGGAGCAAATGTTCTCCTGGTAAATAATTAGAGTGGCTGAGTGTTTATTTAGCTCAAAGGGAATTCCAGCTGTGTGACAATGTCAAGGCGGCATATATTAACAAACACGGTTTCTACGTTTCTTTTGATCTTTTATGATCGTAAATTGAACTTTGATTCATTTATTTAAACCATTCTTAGCCTAAATCCTTGAACAAAATACAGGACAGTGCTCTACATGTTCACAGTTTCTTTATCAAAATGAATCAAAATCAAATAAAAGACAAATGGATGAAATTAAATGAATGATTTAAGATTTACAATATAACGCACCTTGCAAACACAGGGTGTCCGCGGGGTCTTAAAAAGTATTAAAAGTTGATAAATCAATTTAGTGAAAATGAAGGTTATTAAAAAGTATTAAACGGCATTTTCCAAGGTATTACATTCTGTAGCTTGTTTTCAATAAGTATATAAATTGTCCAAAGAGGTTGTATTCTACAGTCTGCCTGAATGTAATCATTGCGTAGGTGTGTAGTGTGATTCTGTGTAGTTTATTTATGGCATCCCGTTGGATTTGACGTCATCTGAACAGGACATCGCACGCTCACTGCTTGATAGCGCGCGAAGGTCCGTTTACGCCGGTTGTTAAACAACATCGTTATGGGGAAATGCAAGTCTGCGTCCAAATGGTTGGAAGATAAGGAGGAAGGACAATCAATACTGTATATAGTAAATGTGAGGTAAGGTGTGTCGCCAATGTAACCGGTTAAAACTCCAAGTGGCAATGAGGTCTTAAAATGTATGGAAAGGGTCTTAAAAAAGGTCTTAAATGGTCTTACATTTGACTTCAGGATTCCTGCATATACCCTGAAACATTACAGTCCGAAGATATAAAATACAGCACAATTAAACAATATTAATTACAACAAATTTAGAGAAAAGAAGAAAAAGATACGCATACATCTTGGCAAACTCAATTAAACAGGTACGTTTTAAGCTGCTTTCACAAAGTTGAACATGTATAAGAAATTAACAGGGATTTGAATGGTTTTAGGGTGGGTTGTTAAATATTTTTTAATCCAATATTTCAGCTGTTTTCTTCATCTCAGACTCTTACTGTTTTGATCCTCTTTCTGTTGACTCTCCATGGTCTTCACAAATTAGTTTATACTGCAGTTGACAGCTGAATAATTAACTGTGATCTCATTAACCATCACATAAATGATGAGCCTAATTTCCAAGACAAAGTCTAATTAACTCGTTGAATCATTTAGACGTCCGTCGGTTAACCGTGTCATTAATTATCTTGGACTGAATAACATCACAGGACGTTTTCTGTCTAATCTCATGCATCTTCTTTTAAAAGCTGATGAATTTATCAGTTAAAATAATAAACATACATGTACTGTACATATTATATACATGTATAAGTTGTACTTTAAGCAGATAATGTTATATCTCTGATCAGTTGACATGTGGTGCAGGTAATGTAAACAAACGGCTAATCAGGAGGCGACAGTTCGCTGACTTTCAATTAGCCTTTAACGACTCGAGGTGACACCCGTTTAAATTCAGCGACAGCAGATAACATGGTGAGTGTGTGTGTGTGTGTGTGTGTGTGTGTGTGTGTGTGTGTGTGTGTGTGTGTGTGTGTGTGTGTGTGTGTGTGTGTGTGTGTGTGTGTGTGTGTGTGTGTGTGTGTGTGTGTGTGTGTGTGTGTGAGAAAAGGAACAGGACATGCAAGGAGATAGAGAGTGAGTCCCTTCTGTCTGGCAATGGCTGATAACGCTCTCTTTAAGCCGTGTCTGTGAAATACTTCCCCTCACCTTGATGTGAAACATGTTCAAACTGCTGATTATGTGCCAGGAATATTATGGGATGATGCTGGCAGACATATTTTTTTTCTATAGCTGTCTGTTTGGCCCCTCAGCCAATCACCTGATCCTCATCCGTCCACACACCTGCTCTCCATTCCCTAATTATCTCCGAGTGCATAAACAACATGCTGCCAGCCTGGGCTTTTTAGCTTTGAAATGCCTGTCACATAGCACATTGAGTTTTCTCGCTGCATTCTCCATCGTTCTTTGTGGGATTTCTTTTTTCACAGGTTTTCTTTTTGGCCTCCTAGTATACGTTACAGCCCGTTTCCTCCTACAGCCAGTTGGATCATCTTATGAGAAATCCTAGCTTCAGGGTTTGAGTAAGCACTATGACAATAAGGCTTGTCGCTCAATCCCCTTTGGACTTAATTATTTGTATTGGCTTTCCTTTTCACCCTCTGTCCGAAACCAGAGCCCAGTCTGATCTGTTTGGTAAGCTGGGTGGCTCTGTTGTGATTGGTCGACCACTTACAGATGACCTGCCCCTAAGCCTATCACGTACAATGTGTTCTAGCGCTATCCAATATAAGTGCTAGTGTTACATAGTGATGTGGGAAAGACACACTATGAAAAGGGAAACCCCAAAAAGCACCCTTTTTCACAAAAATGGCACATTAGGGGTCCAGGGTCTAATTAGTGTCTTTAATGAGCTTAAAAGCTTTGACAACTTAACATAAACTCTGCTCTTTATACCTACTTTATACAATCTAATTTCTCTAATCTGCTTAATTCCTCAGGTGGTGCGTGACCAGATCACCCACTGCACCATGAAGCTGCGTCAGACCACCGGCATGATGGAGTTCTGCCTGGAGGTCCTCAAAGAGAACGACCCCAGTGGATTCCTCCAGGTATCTGACCCAGTGTGTGTGTGTGTGTGTGTGTGTGTGTGTGTGTGTGTGTGTGTGTGTGTGTGTGTGTGTGTGTGTGTGTGTGTGTGTGTGTGTGTGTGTGTGTGTGTGTGTGTGTGTGTGTGTGTGTGTGTGTGTGTGTGTGTGTGTGTGTGTGTGTGTGTGTGTGTGTGTGTGTGTGTGTGTGTGTGTGTGTGTGTGTGTGTGTGTGTGTGTACGACATATGCTTGTGGTTGTATGAGCTGTAAGCATCCAAGTGCAGGTCCTCAAACAACAATGGGAAACCAAATGTATCTAATCCAGTTGAAGTAATTTGTTACAGTACTTTTTTTACGAGAGTCCATTTTGCTTGTAGGTATTTAAAGCTGCACGCTTCTGGTAAAAAACATACACATGTAAATGCATTCATCAGCTAGTCCAATGGTTTAAGTTGTTTCCTAACAAAGGACTCTCAGGTCAAAAGGGAGCATGTCATAATTCAGTTTCTGTAAGAAAAGAAAGGATATGTAAAGATGAGGTTGGGGTTCCTCCTGAAGTTGCTAAAAATAAATATAAAAATGACATGAAAGAATGATGCTGATCATCATAAAAAAAAGATAAACAAACACCAGCCTCTATAAAAACCTCCAAAGTTACGACATAACTTTCAGCGAACACACACACGCCGAACACAGCACGGGGTCCTTACACTACATTAAAACACATTTAGTTTTCCAACTGAAAGTGTAAGAGTTGAAAGGAAGAAAGAATTATGAAACGCAGTTCCTTTGAGCTTAAGAGCAGAAATGAGCTTCTGATGTTGAAGCCAGCACAGCTAAAACACTGAGGACTGAGATGTAACACACACACACACGCACACACACACACGCACGCACGCACACACAAGCACGCACACACGCACGCACACACACGCACACACAAGCACGCACACACGCACGCACACACGCACGCACGCACGCACACACACACACACACACGCACACACACGCACACACACACACACGCACACACACACACGCACGCACGCACACACACACACACACACGCACGCACGCACGCACGCACATTCTTTCTTGGTTCTACAAGAAGGCACAAGTAAAAATGATATAGGAAACCTTTGTAAGGACTCTAAAACTTAAAATGGATATTCACTGAGACACACACACACACACACACACACACACACACACACACACACACACACACACAGAAACACACACACAGAAACACACACAAACGCACGCACACACGCACACACACACACACACACACACACACACACACACACACACACACACACACACACACACACACACACACACACACACACACACACACAACACACACACACACACACAACACACACACACACACACACACATGTTTACTTATGAGCAGGCTCAGATACTCGATGGCCGGTCAGTAGTTATTGATCTGTGTTGTTAGGCCAACAAGAGAAAGGTCAAATGTGACATGAGCACGTGCTTAGAAGAAAGATGTGAGAGTAAAGGTTTAATGTTGTGTTTGGTTCCTGTGACTATTTAAAACATTTTCTAATCAGCGTGAACATTCTTAAAAACATGCTTGAATTCAAGGGATGTGTCTCAATGAGATTCCCTTTATATATATATACAAAGGATAGCTCATATATTTTTAAGATTATGAAACAGTTCCTAATTCAACGTGTCTATTTACACCTTCATCAAAAGTTCCAGCTCAGTTTGTGGTATGACGAAGGCTTCAATACTTTTCTATATCATTATTTGTACACACGCAGCCTGTGGTGTGTTTGAACCTAAATGGCCACACCAAGGGTTACAAACTAAAAGAAATATAGAAATACATGAAGATTAAATGTATTTTTTAAACTTAGCGTAAATCATTATCAATATTCATGGCTGTTGTGATTTCCATTGAATGATACGAGATGAAATGATAGTGTCTCTGCTTCTGGTTGTGAGTCATTTCTCTTCTTAAAGAGAGATAGAACGAGAGAAATAGAGTAAGGTGAAAATGAGAGATGAAGAAAAGATCAAAGCCGCTCCTGAGGGACACACACACACGCACAGACGCACGCACGCACGCACACACACACACACACACACACACACACACACACACACACACACACACACACACACACACACACACACACACACACACACACACACACACACACACACACACACACACACACACACACACACACACACATCCCTTTGCTCCCATTTCCTCTGAATACTTGATAATGTATTGATTACGTGGTTCATTACGGTTGCCGACGTCTAAATTGTCGAAGGTGGATATCAATGTTTAGTCAATTCAGGAACAGTTATGTAGTTTGAACTGAGCCAAAGTCAGAAAATGAAGCTCAATCAAGCAATTTATAACGCTTGAGGATAAATGTCCAAATACTGGGTTCATGTTTCCAGAAGATCGCATCACAGTTGAGTGTAGTTTAATGTAATGTATTCACTTATCTTTCCCCTGAGGCACTTAAAGCTCTTACCAGCAGAAGAGGGCTCTAATTCTTTGCCTTAAATATTTGAACTGCACTAATGCCGGCCTCATTCCTCTTGTCAGACACAATGTAATGAAACCAGGCTAATGCTCAGCGAATCACAGCCCTGAAAGCATATTCAAATGAATGTAGACTTTGCAGATGCAGAAGCTCTGATTTGTTTCACTGTACGTGTGTTTTGACTTGTTCTTCATGTCTGCACATTTAAACATGTATTTGTAGATGTTTTTACATTTATCACATTACACAAACACAACCAAACATTTTTTCAACACAAAGCAATTGAGCGCCTGGCTTGTAGAAGGCATAAGTTAACAATTTTTCTTTCCCTAACCGATAGCGAACAGTCTTCTGGATAAATACTTAAAGGTCACCTATTATGCAAAATCCACTTTTTCATGTCTCTTCTACATCAACATGTGTCCCCTCTTCTTCATGTCTCTTCTACATCAACATGTGTCCCCTCTGTGTAAAGAGACTCTGAAAGTTTCAGGAACAAAGATTCTCTCTCTTTTTGTCCTGATCCATTTCTATAAAAACCTGTCTGAAAATGAGCTGATCAGATTTGGCCACTTTATGATGTCATAACGATGTTTTGGCTTGTGTAACCATTAGCCAATCAGCAACCAAGGTAACCCCCCCCCCCCCACCTTATCACCTGAATCTCCTCCTAGAGCACCATTGTGTTCTTTGTAACCAAATCTCTCTCAGAGGGGCGTGGGGAGGGGCTCCTTATTTTCATCTAAATTAACAGACAGAGAATCAGCACTTTTGAAACAGGGCTGAAACAGAGGGGATTATGGGATGCTGCAATGATCTGTTTGGTGTTTCAGCCAATCAGAGACATGTACTGTATATATCTGAGACCTATAATATATTGATGAAAAACAGTATAATAGGGGACCTTTAAAATACAAAGTTTAGAGCTTAAAGGTATTGGAGACGAGGTTATTTGGGAAATATATCTTGTCACCGAAGTCCAAAATCTTTTTTTTTTAACTTGTTTTGTTTAATGTGTGTGTGTGTGCAGATTTCAGACCCTTTGATTAAGCGGGTCACATCGTCTCAGGACCAGTGGGTGAAAGGGGCCCTGGAGCCAAAAGTAGGCTCTGAGTTTGACCTCACCCTCAACACCGACGTGCTGCTGCAGACCATCCTGCAGCTGGACTACTGCCAGGGCAAAGGTGAACACACACAAACACACACACACACACACACACACACACACACACACACACACACACACACACACACACACACACACACACACACACACACACACACACACACACACACACACACACACATCCAAATGGTGGTTTTAAATACGGTGTTACAGCTACATTTGAGCCATGATTACAGGATCGCTTAGACTCCATGTTTTTTGTGCAATATGCCATTAATCCTTCTCTTTTACATTGACTTTCTGTATGTATATCTTCTGTGTATTAACAATTTGTCGTACTCTAATTGTTTTAGTAGTGTGCTTATAAAGAAAGGGGTTTCACTTGAGACATATTAGGAAAGAAAGCGATTAAAAAAGCTGGGATAAATCCAGATTTATAGTCCATGATATGGGTCAAGCTCCAACAACACTGACTTCTACCTTACCCATAATGCAATTTAATGGAGTCGTTATGTCGTATTAACATCAAATGAAATTGACAATATCTTGCACAAACAACCCCTTACATGCATGTCTCAACAAACCGTTTGTTGGCTGTTATATTTCAGTAAAATAAAACAAATAAACACAATACATTCAGTTCATTGCATTTTAAAAGAGCAACATACTGTTTGTTTTGATCTGATTTCACTCGTTAACGAACCGTCTCAATGCCATCTAATTTAATGATGTCATTATAAGGCAGGAAGGGGGGCTTAAACAGACTTAATAATGACCTTTGAACAACTGGAGGTTTTTTTGGTCTTCCAATTTTGTTATAGTGGACCCTCCCTAAAGATAAGATAAGATGTACTTTATTAATCCCTATTTGGGACACTTTTTAAAGATACAGTATACCTCATGCGTAAAGGTGTAGGACTGCCCCTTTAAAACACGCTCAATAAATAAATCAACTTGACTTGTAAACATACAACCTAAATCATTAAAATACCCCCATAACAAACACCCCTTAATGATGTAATTTATGACCAGTTGACATTTAGTCGCTCTTCACTTCTGAGGTCTCTTCCAGCAGCGCAACACGCACGCACGCACGCACGCACGCACGCACGCACGCACGCACGCACGCACGCACGCACGCACGCACACACACACACACACACACACACACACACACACACACACACACTGGCTGTTGTTGCTACCCAGCAACCAGTATGAGTGCATGAGTAACCACAGCGTCCTTTACATTAACTCTGCCCCAGTCTCAGAGATTACCCAGATGGATTGTTAACGTCCATTAAATATGTACTCCTCAGCACTATGAATATTTTACTTTCTATGCGACTCCACTGAGGCAGGTGTTTCCCCTTTGCAAGATGTGGATTCAACCTTGGTAAAATACTAGATAATGCTCGTTATTCTTTGAACTCCAAATGCATTGTGATCCATTATTAATTTGACAAGCTCCTGGCCCTGATTGAGTCACACTTGAAGGAATTTTTTTCTTCTAATTGGAGCTCCAGTCAAGCAAATCCCCAAGAGCTTGTGAGTCGTAGAAAGTCTTTGGTCGTCCGTGGTTTTGTTCTTTAAGACCAGCTACATGAAACCCACGTGTTCCCGTCTTCACATCCCACTGATTATCCAGAACGAAGCGATGGAGTTTAAAGACAGAGCGTTTCATTTCTTGTCTTTTAATTGAACTCCTTGGACATCCTGAGCAGCAGTGTACAGTAGGAGGTGTTCTGGTTCACAAGTAGCTTCAAATGATTCTCCTTCATATATTGTTATCATTCTGAATTGATTGAGAGATCTGATTCATGTTTTCAAGTAGGTCTTCGTGTCACTATGTAAATGAACAACTGCTTATGAAATCATCTAACTACACTTCAGACATGTGTCTCTTTTCCCCCATGTAATTGATAACAGGTTACACAATCTTTCTCCAGGAATTTTCCAGGAAATTATTAGAAAATGACCGACTAAATCTTCATGTTTGTATTTGGACGTCACTGTGTAGTTGCAGCGCTTTCTAAATGAATATCAGAGATTTGGGAAAAACATGTCTTGTGTCCAAATATGCAACTTTGGACAATGCGGACATCTTTTTTCAACTTTACAATGTTCTTGTAATAAATGTTAGTTAATAGTTAATAAGGCTTTTATGAGTTACATAATGCTTGTTAAGACTATATACACTTTTATAACAGTGTTATAAACATGTCTTTTTATATAATAATACATTTATAAGACACTTTTAAATAGTCTATAGACAGTAACATCATTTGATCAAAAAACCTTATGAGTTAGAGGTGTTTATAAAAGCATAGCAAACACATTTATTGAGTTTAACTAACATACCTATTACCTTGTGATTTATATATTTTCTAATAATAATAATAATAATCCTTATATTTATTATAGCGCTTTTTCAATGACTCTCAAAGCGCTTTACAAATACACATTACACATACAGATCATACATACATGTAATGGTCATCTACTGTGGACAATACCCACAGGAGCAAGTTCAGGTGAAGTGTCTTGCCCAAGGACATAATAGCATTACAAACACATTTACATAGTTTACACCCACCTGTTGTGTCATTCTTAAACTTGTACTAACCCGTTTGTTGAGTCATACATTATTATTACCTTAATCTAACGCGTTGATGAGATTTTATATTTTAGATGTGTTCATTATAATCTTTACTCCTACTTTCAGCTGCTTTATGCTAACATGTAAACCCACATCATATTTCCAGATGTGCAGGAGAGTCCGTTATTTAAACAAATGCAGGCAGCAGACAGTGAGGCTGAGATGGAGACAGAAAGCCCCGGAGGTATTTCAGAGACTCTCACTCTGTCTTTATCCTCCCTTCAGTTTATTTTGTCACTCCTTCCTCGTCCCTCAGCTCCGGTTGGAAACTCCCGCTCTCTCAGTCCCGCGGCGTCTCTCCGCTCTCTCCTCTGCATGCTTTTTGTTTTCCAGATCCTCTCCAATGAAGTGCTGCCTTCACTGGAGCACTGGAACACAAAGTTTCCCCCCAAAAAAAAAAAATTACAGAAATATGTAGCCCCAAGTACTTCTCTGATTCAAAAACTGCTATTCCGTTACAAGTTCTTTGACTTTCTTTTAATGTAAAATAATAATTTATTGTTATTCTTTCACTGCTTTTTCGTTCAATGTCTGTTGAGGGTCCGGTTGCATTAAAGTCATGCACAAAAGTATGTAAATATTCATTATAATCAGAGGAAATGCGTATTAAACCTGATCCTTCCAATATTCGTTTGCCAAGTGAAAAATTGCAGAATAATTCAGCTTAATTTATTGTTATATAAAATACATATTTAAGATTGTGATATGTGAAAACATTTTGATTTACAGTAAAGCATAGCAATAGACATGCTACTGCCAAAAATAATAACTATAACAAATTGATAATCACAAGATAAATTCAATATGTTATACTTTCTTTAACCTAAACATAATAGTTATCTTGTAGTTTTCAATGAATCAAAGCCCAGTAATCAATACAAATAATACAAAACATATTTACTTTTATCATACTTTTGTTTGAATACAGAACATATTGTATAAAAAAATAAAATATTCTTCATACCTCGTTGTGGATGAATCAAAGAACTACTTGGGCTACAGATGCTGTGAAACGTGTTAAATTAAATATTGATATTAACTGAGAGTCTAAACGCTCCCAGCGTGTGGCATCGATCCTGTCCCCCCCTCCTGACTGCTGCCTCTCCTCTGTGTCTCCACTGATGCTGATGTTGGTCGAGAAAGATCCGATAACAAATAAAGAAAATATGAACGAGCCGACCTCATCACCCTGTGTGTGTTCACTGGTTATTTTTACCCTGTTTTTGTTGTCTGTGTGTTTCTTTCACTCCGGATTGGACAGATATGTCTGTTCATTAGGAAATGTATTCGATACAGTGCTGATGCTTTTCTTTTTTGGCCTTTTAACTAATCGTTTTTTAGCTAGTTTTGACAGTCAACACGTAATTTAAGATGTTTCTTGTAATGAGCGGAGCATTTTTGGGCTGGAAATGAGACAAAAAGTGTTCAAAAGGAAGGAAATATTTATATTGCTTAGCTTAATGCCAACCCTATGCACCGCTACTACACAAGTGTTTATTATAACCACATGGCCTCGTTAAAGCCTCTATTAATTCCCAGCTGTTGCCCTGTAAATGAACCCGGAGCTCTTTCACCTTTAAGGCTCTTTTTTATTCATTTATCTCACATTAAATCCACATTAAAGCCCCCCTTTCTCTCCCTTGAGTTCTTTTAGCCAGCTGACGATATCCCCCTGTTGTCTTCTTCTTCCCTTCATCTATCCACCCTCTCATCTCTCACCTCCCCCCCCTTACGATCCTAACATCTCATCCGTCTTTTTTTATGTTTAAGAAAATGTATAAGAAAGCATAATTAGACGGTATGAAGTTGATTTTTGATTGGGTTTTACGTTTCAGTATTTGTAAGCAACTGTGAGTGAAAGAATATTGCTTTTATTTTACTTTTCTTTTGGGGGGGCAAAACCACCCTCTCATCTCTCACATTAATATCATGCAACAAAGTATGTCAATATGAACTATAATCAGATGAAATGTGTATTAAACACGATCCTTCCAATATTATTTCGCTAAGTGAAAAATGGCAGAACAATTCTCCTTATCGAATTGTAATATAAAATAAACAATTGAGATCCTAACATCTTACCCATCTTCTCCCCCCCCCCCCCCAGTGGAGTGCGGCCCCTCGGTGCCGGCGGCCCCCATCCTGCAGCTGGAGAAGTGCTGCACCCGAGACAACAGCGCCACCCTGGCCTGGAGGGTGATCGCAGCCAGCCCCATCGAGGGATACATCCTGGAGCTGGACGACGGCAACGGAGGACAGTACAGGGTGGGTGCCACGCAGCAACACACACACATTTATAATATGTAATGTGTGCAAAACAGAGAACAAGGGTTGACACTAATATGACAGTCATTTCATCCAAACTGCAGCAAAAGATGAAGTCCCTTCTGTAGCCAGACTTTGTTTTTGTCTTTTATTATTAATTATCCATATGCTCTGAGTAAAGCCAGATGGTAGTGTGTGTGTGTGTGTGTGTGTGTGTGTGTGTGTGTGTGTGTGTGTGTGTGTGTGTGTGGTGTGTGTGTGTGCGTGTGTGTGTGTGTGTGTGTGTGCGTGCGTGCGTGTGCGCTTGTTTCTGCGTGTGCGTGTGTTTCTGCGTGTGTGTCTGTGTCTCAGTGAATATCCATTTTAAGTTTTAGAGTCCTTACAAAGGTTTCGTCCTATATCATTTTTACTTGTGCCTTCTTGTAGAACCAAGAAAGAATGTTATATAAAACAAAAATCTGCAACCATGGCCATTATCAGAGGCCGTACACACATACAGTATAATATATTGAAAATCACTTTGCTTAATCATTTTCCCCTGTTTCATAAACATTCCAATTAATATGAAAAACATGTTATCTCACTCTAAATTGGTAAATAATCCTCTGCTTGTCATTAATAATACCTTGCTTATATATATCTCATTATCAACCACACACTCGTTTATGCCTCCAAGGAGTGCATTCTCTAGCTATAAAATATCCACGAATATCAATGTACATTCATAATATGCAAATGTTCCCAGAATGTACATAATGTATGATTCATCTTATGTGTTTAGGCAGCAACATACTGTACATGTGCATTAATTAGCCTGCGTTTGTAGTGATGCTACGGAGATGAGATGAGATGAGATGAGATGTGATGAGATGTGATGAGATGTGATGAGATGAGATGAGATGAGATGAGATGTGATGAGATGTGATGAGATGTGATGAGATGAGATGTGATGAGATGAGATGTGATGAGATGTGATGAGATGTGATGAGATGTGATGAGATGTGATGAGATGAGATGTGATGAGATGAGATGTGATGAGATGTGATGAGAAGTGATGAGATGTGATGAGATGTGATGAGAAGTGATGAGATGTGATGAGATGTGATGAGATGTGATGTGATGAGATGTGATGAGATGAGATGTGATGTGATGAGATGAGATGTGATGAGATGTGATGAGATGAGATGTGATGAGATGTGATGAGATGTGATGTGATGAGATGAGATGAGATGAGATGTGATGAGATGTGATGAGATGTGATCTCAGATGAGATGAGATGTGATGAGATGTGATGAGATGAGATGAGATGTGATGTGATGAGATGTGATGAGATGAGATGTGATGAGATGAGATGTGATGAGATGAGATGTGATGAGATGTGATCTCAGATGAGATGTGATGAGATGAGATGTGATGAGATGAGATGGGATGAGATGTGATGAGATGTGATGAGATGTGATGAGATGAGATGTGATGAGATGTGATGAGATGTGATGAGATGTGATGAGATGAGATGTGATGAGATGTGATGAGATGTGATGAGATGAGATGTGATGAGATGAGATGTGATGTGATGAGATGTGATGAGATGTGATGAGAAGTGATGAGATGTGATGAGATGTGATGTGATGAGATGAGATGTGATGAGATGTGATGAGATGTGATGAGATGTGATGAGATGAGAAGTGATGAGATGTGATGAGATGTGATGTGATGAGATGAGATGTGATGAGATGTGATGAGATGAGATGTGATGTGATGAGATGTGATGAGATGTGATGAGATGAGATGAGATGTGATGTGATGAGATGTGATGAGATGTGATGAGATGTGATGTGATGAGATGAGATGTGATGAGATGTGATGAGATGTATGTTTTTAGTGTTTATTGATCGTATGTACCTACCTAAGGACTGCAGATGGAAATGAGCTATTAGCTCAAATCTGGCATAATTGATCTCTTCTATTTTCTGAGATTAATGTATTTGTATGCATGGTCCTTGTTGAAATAAATACATAATAATGTGTGTGTGTGTCCTCAGGAGGTGTACGTGGGGAAGGAGACGGTGTGCACGGTGGACGGCCTCCACTTCAACAGCTCCTACAACGCCAGGGTGAAGGCTTACAACGCTGTGGGGGTCGGGCCCTACAGCAAGACTGTGGTGCTCAAGACCTCCGATGGTAGGGTGTGTGTGTGTGTGTGTGTGTGTGTGTGTGTGTGTGTGTGTGTGTGTGTGTGTGTGTGTGTGTGTTTGTGTGTGTGTGTGTGTGTGTTTGCTGTGGAATGATGTCCCTTTGATAGTCTTGATGTTATCGCTTCTCCGTGTTAAATTGATTAGACAAGCTTCTTAGAGGCTGAGTCTTGAGGTTTTTTAAGGTAAAGATAGAAGAAGAAGAAGAAGCGTGATGTGATTTATACTGCAGGAGAGAGAAGAGGTGAATGAAGGACAAGAGAGGAAAGGAGGAGATAACAGGAAAAGCAGACAGAGAATATGATAAGGAATCTGAGAAGTAGACACGAAGGGAAGGATGAAAAAAGATCAAGGGCAAAATAAAGGAATGATGGGAAAATGGAGGAAAAGAGAAAAAGAAAAAAGGGGAAGAGGAATTAAAGAAAGGGATAGTAAATTAATAAAATATGGAAAAAATAGCAAAAGACAAATAGACAGCAAAGGGAGAAAAGAGATGAGAAATGACTAAAAAGGATGGCAATAGAGGAATATGTAAAAGAAAGAAACAAGAGAGTAGATAAGGAAGAAAGGTATAGACAAGGAAAGTGTAGGAAAGATAAAAGAAAGACAGAGTGATAAAAAAGAGGGCAAAATAGCTGTTTAACAAATTAAAACATTACACTATATGTTATTTAGCTGATGCTTTTATCCAGATTGTCTTCCATACACCTCTGTACCGTAGACACGCCTAATGGAGCAATTTGGGGTTAAGTATCTTGCCCAAGGAACCTTCATTTGTTATATTTGGGGATCGATCCACCGCAAATAGGTGACTTTTAATAAGAAAACCTATATCTGTGATTAGGGAGAAAATGGGTGAGCTTGTTTTTAAGAAGAAGAAGAAGATCGACCTTTATTAATCCCCCGAGGGGGAAATTCAGTTTCCACTCT